CCGACTTTAAGAGCAGCGGCTCTCCTCTCGTCCTGCTACTCGACTCGTGTTGACGCAGAGAAGAAGCGATGGCCAGAACCAAGCAGACCGCCCGTAAGTCCACCGGAGGCAAAGCCCCCAGGAAGCAGCTGGCCACCAAGGCCGCCCGTAAGAGCGCCCCGGCCACCGGCGGCGTGAAGAAGCCTCACCGTTACAGGCCCGGTACCGTGGCTCTGCGCGAGATCCGTCGCTACCAGAAATCCACGGAGCTGCTGATCCGCAAGCTGCCCTTCCAGCGCCTGGTCCGAGAGATCGCTCAGGACTTCAAGACCGACCTGCGCTTCCAGAGCTCCGCCGTCATGGCTCTGCAGGAGGCCAGCGAGGCGTACCTGGTGGGCCTGTTCGAGGACACCAACCTGTGCGCCATCCACGCCAAGAGGGTCACCATCATGCCCAAAGACATCCAGCTGGCCCGCCGCATCCGCGGAGAGAGAGCGTAAAGACTGCTGCTCCTCCACAAACAACAACAACAACAACAACAACAACGGCTCTTTTAAGAGCCACTTTACGGTCAACTCAAGAGCTGCATCCTCATCAACGTCCACTCTGAGCAGTCCTTTGTAGCGCAAAACGTTCTCTTACAGGATATTCACATAGTCTAACAGCAGTTTCACCTGTTTCAGTCACTGCTTGCTGCCATCCTCTGCTGACTCTGTAATCTCTATACTGATGAATGGATGAGTGCAGGTGTTTGTCTCAGCTTCACTTTGTGATCACTTATGATATTCAAGTGTTTTCATATCTTGCACTCAGCAATTTCCCTGAGGTTTCCACCAAAGGGATCAATTAAGTTCTATTCTATTCTATTCTATTCTATTCTATTCTGTTCTATTCTACTTTCACATAGTACAATAATATTGAAATGATTCTATCAGGCTGTTGGATTGTGTTTCATGTAAACACCTCCTCCCCATCATGTATGATCAGTTCATCACCTGAACACACATTTTTAACATCCAACAACACTGACACTTTGTAGAAGTTTATAAGTTTGCCCAGGGACACCACAGCCAAGCCTGAAAGCAGGTCACAAAGTCTCCCTGTTCAACCGCCATCTGCAGCAGATGTCTGCTCCCATTGGGGAGAAACAACAACATGTTGAGCAACAGATAGAACAGCCTGAACTTGATGGACTTGATACTGACCACAGACTGTTTCTAAAAGATAGTGAGGAGCCTCCCAGTGTGAAATATTGAGCTAACATCACAGTGTTCCCAGAACGACATTATTTCAAACCACCAGCAGGGGGCTGCATTGGCAAAAAGAAGGTAGATTATCTGAGAACATCTATGAGGAATAGGTTGCAAGGTGGCTCAGTGAATATAGTGAATTTATTTTTATGTGAATATAGTGACCAAAATAAAAACTGTACTACTGCAGTTTAATGACTGATATTCCAAATCAACAAATATTTTGTCATCAAACACTTAGATTCCCTTCAGAGCTGAAAGTGGAGGAAAAGTTCAGAAATAGATAATACCAAGTGTGAAATATTGAGCTAACATCACAGTGTTCCCAGAACTACATTATTTCAAACCACCAGCAGGGGGCTGCATAGGCAAAAACAAGGTAGATTATAGGAGATCATCTATGAGGAAATCGGTTGCTAGTCACTCGTCTGTTCTTCAATACAGCATGAAGTCGATTTTGTAAATTGTGGTTCCACAATGATTAAAATATTAAAGCAGGATATGTTTTAGTGTGTGGCCATTCGTCATCACCTTCATTGCTGCTGGCAGCTATACTTCCTTTATTGCTTAAAACACTTAAAACAAAAACAACCCACAAAAACCCTTAGCCTTACATTTGTGACTCAAGATCAAAACAGCAACAGCATAAACATTTATTTATTTATTTGTTTGGTGGTTGTTGTTGTTGTTGTTAAGGTTTAGTATAGTCAGAGGGGAATGTAAGAGTTTTTGGAGATCTTGACACGACAAGATATGAGATATAGGCAAGCAGATTCTAAGCAGAGGAAACACCAGTCTTCCCTTCTTTATTTTCTTTTCCTATTGGCAGTTCAGCATCTGACAGCTTTATGGAATGAAGCTGTTGAAGCTGTTGATCAGTCTGGAGGTTTATTCTTTCAGTGCTCCGGAAATGTTTGCCTGATAGCAGCAGTTCAGTTTATGGAGAGGGTGTGAGGAGTCCCTGACAATGTTCAATGTCCTGCTCCTGCAGCCGCTCTGGACAAGTTCAAAGCTAGCTGTCTGTCCGCCCCGAACGATGTCATCTCCTCCAGGTCTATGGCCGTCTGGGATGATGTCATTGAGCCATGTTTCTGTAAAAGCAAATGCACAGCAGTGTTTCCACTCTATGCGGGTTTCTTCCAGCAAATGTAGCTCGTCTAGCTTGTTGTCGAGGGAGCGGATATTGGAGAGTAGGAGCGACGGTACAGCTGGTCTGTTGGTGTAGTGTGTCCAAATCACAACCGGCTGCAGCAATATTAGCAACGTTCATTGCCCTGACAAGTCTCTTGGCTGTAAATGAACGTCTGGGATAGACAAGACACTCAAAACGTTCCCTCTCGCTGTCTCCTGAAGGGGCTGCTGCATCCATGCATCCCGCCATCTCTATGGAAACTTAAAAACTTGAAAAGTTCTACATTAGTCAAGTTCTCTGCTATTAATGATGCTGTAGGGTTTTAGCCTCAAGATTTTAGTTTGTCAGGCTAATTTACATAACAATGCTGTAGGATCTTTATATCCATTATGGTCCGATAATGTTGTATTCTCACAAACTTCATGTAGGTTTTTCATTTTTATTATATTTTAACTTCTCAGGTAAATACACTCTGTCAATAACATGGTAGAGTCTTATTTAAAATATTTAACCTTGGTAAAATATCTATAGTATGTAAGGGCTCCATTTTTTTCCCATTGTTGGTAACATTAGTGGACACTTGGAGAAATGTTGAACATATTTGTATTGTTTGGAGCAAGCTATGGGAGCTGTAAATTAGAGTATATTTAGTATTTTGTCGGCCTGTACACCTAATTCAGGACATCACAATCTGTAGAGGAGGTATCAGCCAGTTTTCCTGACGTCGGCTCTGAAAGAGGAAGAGCCTCAGACCTGAGATGGGAGCATACAGACTTTGTTCAGCAGGTTGATTTGAATTATAGTACACTGTCCAAGCTTCGCTGACATAAAACTTACTTTGGCGAAGAAATGTGGGTATGAGCTGTCAAAAAAGAGTTCGATAGAGAACATTTAATAAAAAGTCAGCTACACATTTCTAGTTAATGAATTTCCCTTTTAGACATATACACACACACAGAGACACACCGTGGTTGTGGTCAAACATCTTGTACATGCAGGCTGAAACCACAGCCAGCGTCAGCAGAAGGAAGCAGCAGAATGCGATGGTGATCACCTCGATGGTGGTCAAGTAAACATCTGTGGATGAGATGGAACAAGGCCAATTTATCATGCTGTGGATGTTGCATGTACGTCAATTAAATAAACCGTGTATTATTTTTACTTGGTGGGGTTGCAGTGAAAGATGTTGCATGAAGCATAAAGTTAATATTTCTGACTGATTGAAGGTAAAATGAGTGCAGAAATTCTACACAACAAGCCCTTCTATTTTTAAAAACAGAAAGTCGAACTAGATGAGACCACTGAACCCCTGAGTTACGGCATTTGTCAGAGCAAAACAAACCGTGTATAACATCCTTAACACTAGAGGTCATACCGTCATGGTGAAATGAAACGTTTTTGTAGTGTTGTCAGCTAAATAAAAGACACACTGCTGGAGACGTGAGAGTTTGATCAATTGAGTTTATCAGCAACTGAGTTAGAAAAAAAAAAGTTTACCATTGTGCTGAGGAGCGCAGGATGTTTTGTTGTTTGCAGAATCTGGGTTGAGCAAATGTATGTTATTTTATATGAGATATGTAAAATACATTTTGATGAAATGTCACAATTGTAAGCTTAAATTTAGTTTTTCTGATGGGAAGACATGTCCTATATGAGTACTTCAAGGACCTTTGGAAAATTGAAGCTTTATCTAATGGATCTTTCAATTTTTAGTTTCTGGCTTTAATAAATGATATCCTTTTGTTAATTGTTCAAAGACAATACCCATTTTAAACCAAATGATCGGTTTGAGGGTTTAAAGTGTTAAGATTACTGGTATTCTTCGTCTAGTCTTGATTTTTTCACCTGTGACTTGGACAATTTCAGCTGCACTCTCCACCCACGGCCCAGAGTCTTCGTAGTCATCTCTGGCCCTGCAGCGGTAATACCCAGACTCCTTGGGGTCAAGCTTAGTGAGGATGAGAGTTTGTCTGTGATCAGCCAGGACAAAGTGAGGCAGGGTGGACTGGCTGTGGAAATCCTCATGAGACTCAGAGGGAAGGACGGTGTCGTTTAAGAGCCAGGAGAAGTGAGGGAAAGTTCCTCTGCTGACATGGCAGCTCAGCCTGGCAGCGACCATTTTGGATTCGGCTGAGTACAGATGTTCCACCTCCACTTTCACATCGCCTCCAACTGGAACTGGACAGATGGGGAGGACGAGAGCGTTAGAAGAGCAGATTTAAAGGTCGTAAATCACAGACAAACACATGTCATTCCCGTTGCATGTCAGTGGCTCATACCTACTTCCAGAGTCATCGGCTCACTCATCAGTTCCTGCAGCTCAGTTTTTATCCGACATTGCGCAACGCCCATGTCCAGCCCGGGTACCACGGCGACCTGGAACCAGGCAGTGAGGGAGTCTGTTGCTGTGACAAATCCCACCTCCTTGTTATCTAGTAGGAGAAAGAAGTTCACCGGAGGACTCCCTCTTGATGACCAGCAGGTTACGTTGCCACGGTAACTGTCTCCCTCTTTGAAAATGGAGAAGGAGATCTTCGGTTTTGAAACATAGACTGGTGGAGGTGGAGGGAAGATTGGGAGAAAGATGATACAGTTAGGAGGAACTGAAGCAAATTAGTTGTTGAGTCAAGATTATATGGCCAAAAGTATGAGGACAATGATTGCGTGTCCTTGTCTAGGGATGTTTTTCATGGTTTGAAGTTCAACCTTTCTTTCCAGTTAGGGAGTCTTAATGCTGCAGCATGCTGTCAAAAAGCCATCACCTGACCCACTAGATGGTTTGTCACACAGAACCACCTGGGAAGTTGTCCTTGGGAACTGCCTGGAAAGGGCACTTTCAAAAAATATTTGGCAGGTGACTGGGCGAACCATCTTTCTATCACCATCTATTGGGTTAACTCACACCAGTGTCTGCCAGTACTTACACATGGGACGCTGATTGATCTGACTGACTGTGGATCGGCCACATGTGCATATTAAAACTTGGCAAGATGGATTCTCTTGTGATGATGACATTGAGAGAATCCAGTCTAGGTTCCTCCCAAAGTAAGACAAACCTTTGGCCAAATTCGTCCCCGATGTTAATGATTGATTAATCATTTCAGTAGTTTATAGCAAAAAGGCACAACATTTAATTAATCTGTGTCCTCAACTATGACAATTTGCTGCTTTTGTTAATCTAAAATTATATCGTGCAGAACTAATTTTGGGGTTCTGGGACATTTAATGACGTTGCCTTATGCTCACAGAAATTGTGATGGACATTTTTCACAGTTTTCTTAGAAAATAATTGGTAGATTAATCAATAATGAAGATAACTATTTGTTACAACACAAGTTTAGGATGTTGGTTAATATTTGTTCATCAGCTGTAAACTCAAAGCAGAAGTGGGGCTGAAGGGAATGTCTACAGTATATTCTACAGGTATTTGGTCATGCATCAAAATATTGGACAAAGGAATGTTTTTGGAATGATAGCCCTAGATGAAGTGTGAATAAATCACGTTTAGGGGAAGGTAATGTTAGTTCCTAATTCATAGCAATTCAGCTAATACATAGACAAAACCAGAAAAATCGATCTCATAGTGGCGCTAGTAGAAATGTCAATAGGATTTATCCACAGGGAACCTTGAATGACTGCATCTTATCAGTAGCTGTTCAGATATTTCAACCCAAGTGATAGGGTAGCATTTCTACTGACAGAATAATGCTGCTAGCTTGTTTAAAAAAGGGGTAAAACATGGGATCGTTATGTCTTCAATGTACTCTGCTCCATTTGTTTTTTTGGTTTTTTTTCGTTGATGTATACCTTTGATTGTCACCAGAACGTCCAGGCTGCTAGAAACCCTTCTGACGTCATACACCATGGACCAAGCCCAACAAGAATAATCTCCAGCATGCTCTGGAGTCACACTTTCCATCACTAGCTTGTTCCCAGTTAGGTGGAATAAGGTCGAGACTGAAGATGTTACTTCCTTCCTGTTGAAATACCAGGTGTAGGAAAGGTGTGAGCCTGTTTCAGCATCGCAGCTCAGGACAAGGCGTGACCCCTCATACGCAACTGGGGGGAAGGGGTCGGAGGTCACTCTGGTGTTTGATGGTGGGCCTGGTAAAGAGGGAATGACAGAGGTTTGGGGAGGAAAAGAAGAAGCCCAGTTTGCTAATGTTTATTGAAATACCCAGCATCCAATACTCACTGACAACACTCAGCTTGATGCTGTTGCTGACGTCTGTTTTTCCTCCAGCTGTTGCCCTACAGTGGTAAGACCCGTCTGATGCTGCTGAGACTTTCAGAAAGAATGATGAGGATTGGTCCCCTATGGGATCGATATCTTTGGCAATCACAATAGTGCTGTCCTTCAACAGCTCATATGTGACAGGTGGAGGGGAGTCAGGCGCAATACACCGGAAAGCCACCTTTGAGTTGTGGTAGGCCTTGTCAGGACCAGTCAACTCCGGGCGAAGAGCAATTATTCCACCTGAAGAATGAAACAGTCTCCATAAATGCAGTGTCTATTTAAAGTATTCACCCCCTTTGGAAGTTTTCCCTTTGCATTGCTTTTCAATATTGAATCTTGGATCATTTAATTTGACTTTTTTGACAAGAATTTACAGAAAAATACTTTTTTCTTTGTCAAGGTGAAAACAGATTTCTGCAAAGGTATGTCACTTCATTAAAATGTAAAACAGGTGAACAAAACAAGTCAGTATTTTGTAGATGTGTATGTAGCTTTAGCTGCAATTACAGCAATGAGCTTGTGCGGATTGGGCTCAATCAGCCTGAACATCTGGACATCACAATTTGACCCTGTTGTCTTTGCAGAACTACTCAAGCCCTGTCAGGTTGCACTGGGATCATGACTGAACAGCCCTTTTCAAGTCCAGCCATCAGTTGGATTGAGGTTTGGGCTCTGACTCAACCACTCTAGAACAGTCACCTTGTTACCATTAAATATTTTCTGTGTAACTTTAGCTTTATGCTTCAGGTCATTGTCTTGCTGGACAATAAATCTTCTCCCAAGTCGTAGTTCTCTTGCAGACTGCATCGGGTGGTCCACCAGGATTTCGCTATTCTTTGCTGCATTAATTTTACCCTTTGGTGTCCACCAAACACAGCATCAAATCTGATGGCCTGTTGGTTACACAGTCTCTTCCATCTCAGCTCTTCATGCTTGTAACTCCTTAATAAGAGGAGTCATCTATGTTGTGGTGGCCTCTTTCACTAGTCCCTTTCTTATACGTATGGCCTGCTCTAGGCAGATTTACTATGCAACATTACTTCCATTTCCTAATAATAGATTAAACTGTACTCCAAGGAATATTTAGTGACTTGGAAATATACTTGCATTCATTCACAGACTTGTGCTTTTCAACAGTCTTTTCACAGAGGGGTTTGGAGTGTTCTTTTGTCTTCATGGTGTGTTTTTATCCAGGTGTACTGAATTATCAGTGAAGGGACCTTCCAGATAGAGGTGTCTTTAAACTACAATCACCTGAGACACATTCATTTCACTAAGATTGTCTCAGTTTCACTACATTTGTGAAAACTCGCTGCACTGGTGTTGAATTAACTGAGTCACTTTAACCTCTGAAGACCCAAGCTCTTGTTTGATATGCATTTTTTACTTCTCTTTGCTATTTGATCTGATCAAATACAAAAGACAATAAAAAAATAGGGGAAAAAAAGAAAATAAAAATATATTTTTAAAAAATATATAAAAATAAATAAATAAATAACAACAATAAAGTAATAATGATTTTTTAAAAAGTAAAAATTAACTACTGTAGTGACACTGTAGCAGTCACTTATTTTACATTTTATGTTTTTAATTAATTGTCTTTACACTGTCAAAATGTGTTCTCACTTTGACATGAAAGAGTCTTTTTTTTCTTGTCATAAAGCCTAATTATATTGATCATTATAATGCTGTAAAGCAATGAAAGAGGACTATTTCCAAGAGGGTGAATACTTTTATATATCATAATTTTTATGATTATAATCATTTAAAAAATTTATAATTTTATAACTTAACAATGTAGTTATGCTTTAATCCCTGAAATGTACCTGTAATAAGAAAGGCCTACCTACTTATTTTTTTCTCTAAAATAAATACTACTGGATCTAAGAATATCAAATTCCTGAACTCATGGTATGTTCTCAGACAACTGAGCTTCATATCTTAAGTACCCCTTTAACACTTACTTATCTTGATGAGCAAACTTGCCGTAGCTGAAAAAAAAATCAACAACATATTGCATTTAGAATATTAGTCCGTTAAATAACTTCTTTACTTTGCCATTTTAAACAAAGTACAATCAACTCACCCAAAATTGGCAACAAATCAAGAGTCCAGCGGTTCTTCATTACAGAGCTACGCATGTGTCTTTCTCATGGTTTCTGTATCTCTGTTGCATGTGTGCATGTCAACACGAAGGGGTGTTGCACATGTGTTGCAAGAAGATAACAAGTAGGCTGCATGCTTGTCTTCTTTTTTGGGATGCATCTGCATCAGTGGGATGCCAAATACAAATGAAACCAGGTTTTGATGAGCATCACATTTGAAAAACTGCCAGTCATATGACATCACCGAGATAATTATATGTTTGAATGAAATGAGTATGTTTATTTGCATGCATTCATTTCATACACTGTTTATAAACTGTGCAAATTAAGCTGAACACACTCAAAAAGGACATAAAACGATTATCCATCACACAAAAAAACTCTTCATGGTTAGTTTACATTAAGACTTCTGTGACTTTTGCAGAAAAGGTTCATATGTACTTTGGATCTTTGTATTTCAGACGACTGAAAAAGTGAGACTTCATCAGTCCTTTGACTTTCATTTTCGGCCACTTCAGGCTTCCACATAGCAGCTAAGTGAAAGTCTGTAGACACTTTAATCAGTTTAAATGCATGGAGGGGGGTCTTTCCAGTGAATGGGAGGGGTGTCTTCTGCAGAACGAACTCTGTTGACGTTCTTTCCACGTCTCAACATTGTGGCATGCTGCTTCACCAGGAAACGCTTATCTGAACTGCTCTGTAAAGGAAACATACAAATTTATG